GCACATCAAACAAAGGTTTTAGTATGTATGACTGGTGTCATTTCACTGAATTAAAAAACCAGCCTGTTCTGAGTGTAAGTTTCTTTGCAGTTTAAATCAGCAGCATAGTATCACAACTAGTACTAAACAATTAAAGATGCAGAAACCCTTTTAAGCCTGTATAAAAGCACACCTGGACATAATAATTTAGTTTCAAATAATAATAGTTCTAAATGGCTTTCAGTGGGAGAAACACAGATGTTTCTATCCAGAAGTCTTGACTACTCAGTTTAAGGCTTTGAGTACAGTGGTCTACAATCCATTTAGATTTCACTAAAAAATCTATTAGAAGGCAAATTAACAAATGAAACATGGAACAAAGGCTGGGTTTTTTTGGAACCACTAGTTCTATCAACTGTGTTAACTTCCTAAACAGAAAAAACACCAACTGCAGGAAAAGCAAGGACACTTGGACATGCCAACCCCTCACCCCACCCAGTGAAAGAATCTTCCTTAAGCCAGGGATAGGCAACCTTGGGAGTCTCCACGTCTTCTAGATTAGAACTAGAGATGGGGGTATTCGTATACGAATAGCCCCGCACAGGTTGACATAACGAGGGTCCAGCCCCATGGGGCTGGACGGTCCACACACCGATCCGTCGCTGCCACGGACACCGTGATTCTTCCAGTGGCTTCGCAGATCGCAACCGGCTAGCCACTCCTGGAAGGGCAAGCCTCACTGCAAGCTTGAAGAGTGGCTCTCATATTGCGATCTACAGAGTCATTGGAAGAATCGTGGTGTCTGCAGCAGGGCGGATCGGTGAATGAGGGCCGTCCATCCTTTCATTATCGCCATCTGTACAGGTATATTCATATACAAATACCCCCATCTCTAATTATAACTCCTGTCAGCATGGGTTGCAAGTTAAATCCCTATTCTCGTGAAAAAACAGTGAGAGAAGTTCAACATCTAGAAGAGAGCAGCTCACCTGTCCTATGTCAGGCATTTCAGTCACTCACTCCAGCACATAAGGTAATGGAGGAAGCAGCTGAAGTACATGAGAGAATTCTGATAATGCTTCAGTTGTTGTTTACTCCAAGGAATGGACAAAACGAGACCACTCTTTCTCCATCCAGCTTGGGTGAGGAAATCATGTGGCTCCTCAAGGCAATTTCTGTGGCCCTGACTCTCCCATCACAGAGATGGGGTGGGGTAGAGGATGATTCTCCTTAAAAAAGGCATTCCCATGCACATCTTATGATCACTGCAGATGGTGATAGCAGCCATGAAATTAAAAGTCGCCTGCTTCTTGGGAGGAAAGCGATGACAAACCTAGACAGCATCTTAAAAAGCAGAGACATCACCTTGCCGACAAAGGCCCACATCGTCAGAGCTATGGTTTTTCAAGTAGCAATGTACGGAAGTGAGAGCTGGACCATAAAGAAGGCTGACTGACGAAGAATTGATGCTTCTGAATTGTGGTGCTGCAGGAGACTCTTGAGAGCCCCTTGGACTGCAAAGAGAACAAACCTATCCATTCTGAGTGCTCACTGGAAGGACAGACCCTGAAGCTGAGGCTCCAATACTTTGGCAATCTCATGAGAAGACTACCTGGAAAAGACCTCTGATGTTGGGAAAGTGTGAAGGCAGGAGGAGAAGGGGATGACAGAGAATGAGATGGACAGTGTCATTGAAGCTACGAACATCAATTTGACCAAAGTCCGGGAGGCAGTGGAAGACAGGAGGGACTGGCATGCTCTGGTCCATGGGGTCACAAAGAGTCAGACGCGACTTAACAACTAAACAACAATGCACATCTTGTTTTGGCTGGAAATTTCCATCATTTTTTGAAAACCAGAAGAACTAATACAACCCATGGGGCTTCATTGTGATGGTAGTAAATGATCCCTGGAACTTTCCATATTTTCTGAGCCTTCAGCTCATACTACATAAAGCAGCTAAGATGCATAAGAAAGGGGATCTCAGGGTTAGAGGATTATGCTGGTGTCCTACCTGGCAGGAAGATGAAATCTACCTTTAGGCACATCAAGCAAAGATTTTAGTTGGCATGATTCATGTCATTCCACCGAATTCAAAAGCGAGCCTTTTTGAAGATTACTTTTGTGCTTCAAATCAATAGCATGGTGTTACATTGATATTATAATTGACAGTGCGAGATCATTTCAAAATGTATACAAATGCACATTCCACATGCTGGGACCAGAAAGGAAACCTCAATCAACTTTCCTCATTATTAACTTTAGTAAGATACACGGAATTGTGCTAATGGCAGAGCGTAGGGCAGAAATTACTGCAACTTCATTTATCCACATTTCAAATAGCTATGACATACAAAGCTCTATATGAGCTGGGTTCTGGCCATGTCTTCCCATATAGATCCTTGGGGAATGCCCTTCTAGTGGACCAACCATCCTTCCAAATGCAGCTGTAATGACACAACCAAAGGTCTCTTTCAGTGGCTGCTCCAAGGCTGTGCAACTGGAGACTAGGCTGGGCACCTTTCTGCTTCTTGTCCTTCTTCCAAGCAAGCAAAGGCCTTCCTTTTCAGACAAGCTTTTGGCAACTAAGCAGACTGTGCAGAAAATCACTTTTAACTTTTTTTGGACTACAGCTCCCTGAATCCCCCTAGCCAGGCTAGCTGTACAATTCCAAAGAGCTGTAGTCCAAACAAAGAAACCTTTCCATGTGCTGTCAAATCAACTGCTCCGCACAACTGGCTTCACTCCTGAATGGTTATGAATAACAAGAGAAAACAATATGGATCCAGAAAATCATTTAGCCTCTTTAAAGGTTAGTCATAAACTTAAAAGGAAAAAGTATTACATGCAGACATGAAATGTTGGTAGGAGCTGCTGGACAGTAGATTAAAGTACAGAATGTGTTAGGACAGTAGGGCAAAACCAGGAGGGAGCGAAGAAAGAATTATGAGGAAGGGTCTTGGAAATCAAATGAGGCTTGGCACTCCTTAGAGCTGAGATAATCCCATAAGCATGTTGGGAGTCTGGGTAAAATGAACAAACAGACTCAAGGACAGATATACTGTTTAGGACTGGGGAACTTTTTTTTTCACCCTGAGGGCCAGATACCCATCTGCCTTCATCTCACCCTCCTGAGTCTGGTCCTTCATAGTTCAAAGCTCTTATCCCTAATCCAAGCTGGAGGTTCCCCAGTTCTGTGCTTCAGAAATTGTAGACTTTTTGATGCAACTAAGTTAGCAAAGCTGATTCTCAGCTCAGCTGTTTCATAAAGGCAGTTCCCTCTGCGTAACAGACCTGGGATCATACAGGAGAAATAGTACCTTAACAAAAGAGCAAGTGGGCTAGACTTGAAACCTTTGTATATTCTATATATCCTATGAGCTTGAAGTTCTCCATTTCTGGACTAAAATACTCAAATGGTTTTGAGACAGTACTCAGAACAAGTCAGAACTAACAGATCAACTATTTCATCCAGAAGAATGAAAGGGAACATCAACCTTACTGGATACTTTGCATTTTTCAGCTAAATGCTCTCAAATGTCCAGGAACTCCCTGATGGGAGACAAGTAAGAACACTAGGTACTATTATAACATATACCTAGGCAACACTTAGATCACATGTCTTGACTTGGAATACTTTAGTATTGAGTCATTTTCCCCACCAAGGCCCTAGATTGGCCAACTGGTAACTACTCTGCTGGGCTGCTTGCCTGGATGACAACTAGGCAAGCAGGGAGCCATATGCACATATGGCCAATTCCAGGGAGCAGCTCCCCTTTTAACTAATCAGCACAACTCTTTAAATTAATCAGTGGATGAGATGCCTGAACAAGCGTTGTCACCTCTGTGTTCCTGCATAATATTGCTCCCAGCTGCTACCTGAATCTCTGCTTCCGCTACATTTTCTGGTAGAAAATAGATTCTTGAGCCAAAGCATCTGAGTAATACTAACAAAGGAATAAAAAGCATATGCACAGAGAGTTACCCAGTCTCAGTGTCCCAGTGACACACTAAAACCACAGTGTTACACAACAGGGCATGGTGCAACAAGACAACTGAGGAAAAGGTAGTGAGAGCTTTCTCCATGCCGTCATACCACTTTTCTCAGGATCCCCTTAGTTACTGGGGAGGAAATCTCCAGCAGAGGGAAACAGCAAAAATATCTTGTTCTACAGAGTTTCTATTGTTTCCTGAATCATGGGATTAATTTTCTTCCCAGAAAATATACTAACCAGGGTCTGGTCACTCAACCATTCCAACATGCTTATCTAACCACACATACAAACTTTTTTTGTATTATAACGACAACAACAACAACAATAATAACAACAATAATAATAACAATAATAATATAGACCATAGTTGTTTAGTATCAAACTGCTTTTGAAACTCCATGCTGTTCCAAAAGAGGTGCTCCCTGGATTATAAAAAGCTTAACCTCCCCTGTGTGCATGAAATTATTTGCACATTCCTGTCACAGCATCTCAACTTTCAGCAGGAAAACTTTATAAACAAAGAATATTCAAAGATTTTCCCCTGCTTCTCTTTCATGCAGTCACCAAGACACAGAATCGTTATAGAAATGCATCTCCACTTTACCTCTTCTTTTTAAAAATGTATTTGTGATTCTCCTTTAGTTACACCTACATCATTGCACTAACTGTTAGTCTAATGTGTAGGAAGACTTTGTAAACCAAGAAAGGTAGGGCTCCATAAAAATAGAGAATTTTACAAGGAAATAATATTTTAAGATTTTATTATGAGAACTGATGAACTCCTAGCCAAGTTACAAACAATGACCTGGAAAGAAAAGCATAACAATATATTTATGTTAAATTAATATCCAAACTTCTGATATCTTTGCAAATCTTTGCAATCTTTGCAAATTTTTGACTGTGCAAGTGTCACTGCTATGACTCTATTCTGGAACAGAAAACTATGAGACCTCCAGAGAGAGGATATTGCAGATCTTAGGACTGTTAATTAACAGGTTCTTAACAAAAAATTTCCTCACACTTTACTGCCACATAAAAATGCCTTTACTCAAACAAAAATTCTTACATATATTCAACAAAAATATACACAGTTTTTAAAACCAGTTTGGTTTTCATCAATCTGAGTCACTTCTGCTGTCCTGCTGGATACCACTTTCCTCTTCAGCATCATTTTCTCCATCAGTCTCTTTATCCCAGTCTTTCATTGATGCTCCCATCATGAAATCATCTCGCAATATACTCCACGCTGGCTCATCCTCTGACTTTGATTCAGCCTATGAATTGGGAGAAGGGAAAATAGATGAAAGGTGAGCAAAGTATAAGGTAAGCCCTCAAGGTTAAAACAGAGTCAACCACCTAATTCACAAAGGCAGTGCCCTATATTTAATAGAGTGGTTTTGTTCATGGAACTGCGTTCTCTCCTGCAGCTCCCCAATGCGTCCCAAAAACTCATTTTGCAGAGCTGCAAAACCTCTAAAGCTGGTTATGGGGTACAGAACAGGAGGGCAATGAATGCTGGGACAAGGGAAGATTAAGTTTCATTGTACTAGTGTAATGCTGAATTTAAACCATCATGGCTTAAAAGTAGTAAAAGTAGTTGTTCAATCAAAAGTCTCCTTATCAATTCGTGCCAGTCCAAATGGAAAACTATTCTGTGTCTTTTTGAAAGGGGACTGAGTGTTAGGAAGGTTCCAGAAAAATAGACCACCAAGGCTGCTCCTGAAGTTTCATTTTCACACACACAAACACACACACAAAGTATTTCTCACTTGCCTCTCTGGTACAGGTAGTGCAGGTGGCATATTTTAAGCAGATTCTCCAAAGTGTCACACTCACTTTTTTCTTCTATCTGGTAACTGACAGTGGTCTCTTCTGTCACACACACACACACACACACACTATTTCTCAATTGGCTCTCTGGTACAGATAGTGCAGGTGGCATATTTTCAGCAGATTCTCCGAAGTGTCACACTCACTTTTTTCTTCTACCTGGTAACTGACAGTGGTATCTTCTAAGTGTACCTGGTGCAACTTCTAATCCCCTCCCCATGAAATCAATCCAGAATTCCCCCATTGGGAGAGGAGCTAACTGATTAAAAAAAAGGAGAGAGAGCTGAACTGTAGCTGATTCTAGATTCAGGCTAGGGTACCAAAGCACCAAGAAGCCTTGAATGGGTTTTTTGAAGGCAGGCTTTAAACCAGGAATGCCCCACGACAAAAGCGCAAAACCGGTTTAGCATCTTGCCTTCCATTACCTGAACACAATCTACCAGGAAGTTCATCCAACAAAATTTGGCTGGGAGAAGAGAAATCATGGTGCTTCGGCTTCATTAAGATGGATCTAAGGCATCATGGGGTCACGAAGAGTCGGACACAACTTAACAACTAAACAACAACATAGGCATCATTAAAGCAATATGTTTCCCTATGCAGGAGGAGTACTGCTTTGTTCTTGTGAAGCTTCATTTCAACAGGGCTTGCACCCATAAGTTAAGATCTGTCCACTTCCTGGAAGTCACTGCCTCACGGTAGTCAGCACAGACAGAGATGCTTGAGAAATTCAGTCTCTAAATTCCATTGTCAACAGACTCGATACACAATCTACAAAGTAATGTATGGACTTGAACATAATTTTCTTTCAAATATCACACATCTCTGAAATTTGTTGTAAGCTTTTTAGCTCAAAAATGTATCACATTTAAAGTCAACTTATGAATAATAAAATACTTAGCAAAGATATATTTCAATATATATTCAAAGATATACATTTCAATATGCATTTAAAAACACTTCCGCCAATACATAAACTAGACAAGAATGGGCTTATGAACAAACACCTATTAGACAAACACAAATTAGAAACAGACAAACTACTAATTCCTACGGAAATAACAGAACCGTGAAATATCCTTTCCACTGCTTAGCAGGAGGAATGGTTCCACATTCACCATCCACCTCAAGAATGAAATCAAAACAGATTAACCATCTCCAAATATTGTGAGGTACTAATTCCCCTCTATTCAGCATTGGTTAGGCCTCATCTTGAGAACTGTGTCCAGTTCTGGACACCACACTTTTCAGAAGAATGCAGACAAATTGGAAGAAGTTCAGTGGAGGGCAACAAGGATGATCAGGGTGCTGGAAACCTAGCCTTAGGAGGAAAGAATGAAAGAACTGGGCATGTTTAGCACTGAGAAAATAAGACTGAGGGGAGATGTGCACTTTTCAAATACCGTACTTGAAAAGTTATCATACAGAAGAGGGGCAGGCTCTGTTCTTGATAATCCCGGGCAGAGGGGCAGGCTCTGTTCTTGATAATCCCACACTGTAGGACATGCAACAATGGGCTCAAGTTAAAGGAAGCCAGATTTTGGTTGATTATCATGAAAAACCTCCTAACTGTTAGAACAGTATAGCAATGGAGCCAATAACTTTGAGAGGTGGTGAGTGCTCTAGCAATAGAGGCATTCAAGAGAAATTTAGACAACCACCTGGCTGTTATCCTTTGATTTGTATTCCTACTCTGTGCAGGGCGTTGGATTCAATGGCCTTACAGGCCCCATCCAACTTGATTCTATGATTTTATGATTCTATGAATCATGCTTAATTACAGACTGCATTCTTTGGTTGTAGAGCATGGTGTATTACAGTATCTTTAGACTTCTGTGAAAAATATAAAATTTTAGTATAACCTGTCACCTGGTTTATACACAAATATACATCACTTAATATTTCAGCATTTGATGGCTTGCAGTTCAACATGAAAATATTTTGCTAGATAGTTCAGTGGTTTAGATATTTGGCCAGAGGTTGAGAGTTCGATTCCCCACTGTGCCTCCTTGACAGGGGCTGGACTCAAGGAGTCATAGGGTCTCGTCCAGCTCTGCAGTTCTAAGATTATTTAATTAATAAAAGAATATTAGAAGAAACTGGATCAGTAGGAAGGAATTGTGTCTGAATCGCTATCAAGTAACAGGGAAATCTTATTTGTAGTGATTTGTCTGTGATATCTCATCTAAAAAGCAGAGTGAGGAATTACAAATCTATTTATGGAGCATCGTTTATGATGAAGCGCTGTGTGCCTTACCACCAAAACTAGAAGAAATTCAGGAAATACTGAAGAAATGTCAAATTGCTGAACCAAGACAAAGTCACACCCTTTCAAAACATATGGCCAATGCCCCAATCCAACAAAAGAGAACTAGCTGCATATACCTAGTAGTTCTGCATGTCACATAAAATACTACCTTATCAGACTATTGATACATATAGAACAGCACTGTGAACATTAACTGGTGGCAACTTGCAAAGGACATTTCATATCCCTACCAGAAAGACCAGGATGAACTTTGAAACATTCCGCAAAGATGCTCCACAATGAGCACCTCTCCCTTCCTCCTGGTTTACATCAAGACATATCCTATCAATTCAACAGCGCACATGTGTGTTACACCGTACACATCTACCGTGCACATCTACAGTACTCTTTGCAAATCTCACTGGTTGAATCAAGATAGAAAACCTTTAGATCATGTTGGATCAGTACATAAAACTTTTGGATCGTGAACCCTTCCAGATGTTTTTGATTTCAACTCTCAGAAGCCACAGCCAGGCTGGTTTACGATGAAAGATTACAGGAGTTGTACTACAAAACAGTTGAAGGACCAAAGAGTCCTCAACCCTGCTATAGATTAAGCCTAAATGCAGTAACTTCCAAATGCATGTTAATTACAAGGGATAATTATAGGACATGTACAAACTGAAATCAACTTAATTTGCTTTCTGTAAAGGTAAAGGTAAAGGTTCCCCTTGACAATTTTTGTCAAGTCGTTTTCGCCTCTAGGGGGCGGTGCTCATCCCCGTTTCCAAGCCATAGAGCCAGCGTTTGTCCGAAGACAATCTTCCGTGGTCACATGGCCAGTGCGACTTAGACACAGAACGCTGTTACCTTCCCCCCGAAGTGGTCCCTATTTATCTACTTGCATTTGCATGCTTTCGAACCGCTAGGTTGGCGGGAGGTGGGACAAGCGACGGGAGCTCACTCCGTCGCATGGATTCGATCTTACGACTGCTTGGTCTTCAGACCCTGCAGCACAGGCTTCTGCGGTTTAGCCCACAGCGCCACCACGTCCCTTTGCTTTCTGTAAAGTGACACAAATGCACAAAGGCAACAGGTTGAATGCTGAAACAATAATAAGAAAGTCTCTTTCCAAGTGACCAGCAATGTGGATATTTCATCTCTGCACAGCCCTCGGAATTCTTAAACTTAGGAATGGCTTCTTTGTGGCAACCCAAATTTCTTCATATTTTTTGTATTACTGTCATAATACTGCATCCTTAAGATGTTTACTGGCATGTTATATTACATGGAGTTTGTAGTCCACTACGTATTATGCACATCCTCTGATGTCAGCCATCACTACATAAGTATATCATATGGTGTAAGGCACCAAAGAAGAAAAACCCAGTCACAGCAAGTTTATGCCCAAATCTGCTTCTGCCGGGAAACAAGAAGTATGAAAGGAGAAATGTGACGAGGAGTTTGCTTTAGCTGTACACATTCATGGTTTCAGCAGCTGCCAGTTACTGAAGACCAAGGAAGCAAGAGAACATTTTATACAGTGCAACAGCACCACTCTGTGGCCATAGGACAAGTCACATCACATGAAGCTATACCTGTTATTGCAACACCTTAAAACATTTGTCATGAATCTCCGGTCATCCAGATATTTTGGATTTCTAACCCCCAGAATCCATGACCGCTGGCCATGCTGGCTGAAGATTTGGGAGCTGAGATCCAAAACACTTGGAGGACCAAAGGGTTAGAACCACTATCACAACAAATTTAGAGCTGAAGAATGTTTTGTCTTTTAATGGCTTCATAAAATGTACAGAGGTTAGTTGTTATAGATGCTTTTAGCCCATTATTAGAGAAAACTAATCCATGTTTTATTTTGACTACTTCAATTACAACATGCCTACTCAAAGGTGAGTCTCACTGAGCTCAATGTATGCATACAACTGCAGCCTTAATTTTGTAACTTAACATTTTACCTAAACCAGAAAAAAATATGCAACAGTGATTAAAAGACACAAACCACTGGCAATCTGTTCTCTGGCCCTCATCTTGAATGCCTCATTTCTCAGGTTTTTAAAGAGTTGTATTCAACGTGTGATTCAGTTCAAACATACTTTCATCTTGCACAAGTGCCAAATCTATGTAGCATAATTACATTTGTGCAAGGAATCGTGAAAGCTGCAACAATTTTATGTA